TAAAATATATTTTATAATTATATTTTTTCACGTTTTGAAATTGATGGGAAAAATAATTTATACTGATATTGAAAAAATCATTATCATCAAGTAATGACCCTAAAAGAGGCTGTTATGTCTATATTAGAGCAAAGTTGCAATGGGTCAATTTTGAATTTGATTCAACTATGTTGAGTGCGCGGATTCAAATTAATGGTCGATAAATTTAGATGTTCTAATTTGAACGGCAAAAGAGAGAGAGAGAGACTGCGTTTAAAAAAAATATTAAAAGCAAATATATATTTAAGTTTAAATTATTGCTACACGATGATAAACAAAACACGTAATAACTCCGAAAACTTGTTGAGGATGTAGCATTTGATTTTCTCCAAATTTAATACTATAAAATATTAGCGGAATATTAGTGATTAGTCAAATTTTAATTGGAGTGGAGTGGTTAATAATTTACCTATAAAATATATTTTATAATTATATTTTTTTCACGTTTTGAAATTGATGGGAAAAATAATTTATATTGATATTGACAAAATCATTATCGTCAAGTAATAACCCTAAAAGAGGCTGTTATGTCTATATTAGAGCAAAGTTGCAATGGGTCAATTTTGAATTTGATTCAACTATGTTGAGTGCGCGGATTCAAATTAATGGTCGATAAATTTAAATGTTTTAATAGTTATTAACTGTTTTGATAGCTGTCAGCTGTTTTATTAGTAGTTAATTGCTAAATATTAGTTCTCAGAGGTTAATGATTATATAGGGGATTAGAAATAAAAGCGCTCGGTACAAATAACTACTTGATTAGTTGTTTAATATAAAATGATAAAAAATGATAGGAAAGCAAGGAATAAGGTAAAGACGAGTAATATGTATAAGTGTCATAAAGAAATTATAAAACGTTAAACGTTAATGAAGATAACGTTTTATACTCTAAACTCCAGTGCAGATATTGTATTATTGAATGTCATAATTAATTAAGATAATATTTTAATCCTATCAAAAATTAATACTACTTTAAATGCTGTCGCAGAATATGGCCTAATTATCAAACTTAAAATCAAATAATAATTATAAAAGCAATTAAAATTGATTGGTTAGTATCAATTACCAAATATGAAAAGAAAAACAATAATGACATGTTTTATAATTATAATAATCTAAACTTTTACCAAAAAAAAAAAAAAAGGGAAAATTACGTTACGTTACTCGTGGTTTACGAAATAAATTATTTGTCCTTATCTTTTTCAAAATATATATCAATTTATCTCTGTATTTTACTTCCGTTATATTGTTAGGTATTTTTGTCCATTTTTTCATCTTTTCTATTAAGTTAATAAGAAATATTATTGTACTTAACAGAAAAAAATATTTAAATACTTTAAGAAATGACAACTTTATGATTCGAAAAATAAAACTATAATATCCCGTGTTTTTAAAAAATATATATATTTTGTTATTTTATATTATAGAAAAAATATAAAAATTAAATGAAAAATTTTATAATTTAACAGAAATAAATCATAAAAATATTTTACTCTGTTAAAAAAAAAAGATAAAGATAAATTAACTGTATTTGGTAATTACAAAAATCCTATTGTACTTTTCAAAAAAAGAAAGTACAACGATCAAAATCATAGTCCAGTATGGCCTACTTCAAGAAAGGACAACTTTTTGTAGTAATGTTCATTAAATACTCTCTCATCTGCTTTTTTCGTCCCTTCAACAAACCATTTAATTTGTATAAATTTATAATAAATTATTAAATAAATTAATATATTATCCTTATTTGTAATAAAGTGAGAGATTTTTAAAAATTATAGCAATTAGTGTTTATCATTTATAAAGATTAAAATTGAGAAAAAACTTATTATATCTAAAAAAATCTATAAATATAACACTAGAACTTTCACAAATGTGAGATTATTTATAGACCAAGTAATAGTTTGCTCAAATTATGGAGCAAATATAATAATGTATTATAATTACATGAATTAATAATTCAAATATAAAATATTTATTGAGGCCTTTAGGCATTGCATTAAAGTAAATAAATAAAATTTACATTTAATTTTTATGGAGGGATACGTGGTAAATTTTGGACAAAATTTTCATCGAGATAAGCTTAAATTTATAATTTAAAAAGATATCCATACTGAAAAATTTAAATTTTAAAAATATATAATCTAGTAAATATATATTTTTTTTTCGTTTATCTAGATACATATCAATTTACTTAGCTACTTCTTTTTTATCTCCATCCTCCACCAAAGAAGCTTTAAGAAATATTATAAATCAGGCTTAACGCATAATTTTACTTCTAAACTATCACCGTTTCTCTTAGTAGCCTCCTGAACTTTGCGGGATTCTATCGTAGCGACCCTATGCTAAGGGTAGTCACGGTTCCTGAATCGAACAAAAAAATTAATGGTTTCAGTTATGGTTTGGAACCGAATAGTTCTAATTCTGGTTTTAGTTCCTCAACGGTTCCAAAATCGACGATTGTCTGGCCGATTTTCCTACGGTTCTGGCCGATTTTAGATGGAACTAGAACCTCGGTTCACGGTTCCAAAGCTAGTGGAACCAGAATCGAATCGGTTCGGACCGATTCAAATTTCAATTCGACCCGATTCAGGTTCCAGTTCCAATTCTCATCGATTCCGACCTGTTCGGGGTTCTGGTTTCAAAAACCAGATTTGGACCACCTCTACCCTATACTAACGAATTCTTAGTAACCATGCCCCTCGCGTAGAATAAGAAGAGCGTAGCGTTTGGGACAGTAAGGACTAATTTTCTCAGTCAATGAATGTCCAACGTGGCGAGATCAACAGTTGTTATTGTCAAATAGCTTAAGGAGTTTCTTTACCAATTTTCTCTCTTCAAAATCAAACCCAGGAACGACGTCAATCCCTCTCTCTCTCTCAACTGATTTTGTTTCTCCAACTAAAATCGATTCGAAAATGGCAACAAATGTGAAGGGATTCAGAAGCTTGAGCAACTGTTGGCTTATGATTATGATAAGTCAGAGTTCTGTGTTTCAGGTTCAAGTTTTATTAGAAATATAAGCAAAAAACATCAATATTAGAAATAGAAAATTACGGAGGAAGTAGAGACTGAAAGAGAGAGATGAAAAAGAAGAAGAAAATAGAAAGTTATTGGTTGAAGAAACCAAAACAAACGGAGAGTCTCAGATTTTGTCAAACTGTAGATTCTCGTCTCTTTTGGACTCTACATATTGTGATTTTCTTCTCTCATATATATGAGTCTCAGATTTTGTCAAACTGTAGATTCTCATCTCTTTTGGACTCTACATATTGTGATTTTCTTCTCTCATATATATTTTTTTATTTTCTATTTTCTTCTTTTAATCAATTTCTTGAGCTAAAGATTGTGAAGTATGGTTTGGATTGTGATGTTTATATAAATAAGGATTTTTCATTTTTAAGGTTCTTGCAACAAAAAATTTCTAATGCAAGGAAGATGTTTGATGAAATGTGTGAAAGAACCAATAGTGAAAGGAGGAAATCTTTTTTTCTCCTAACTTGCTGCAATGAGTTATCTGGTCACTCTAAATTTCCGATTGCTTCTAACCGTTGCCTCACCAGTTCTATGTTGCTCTTTATGCACAATGAAAGAAAGTAGATTGATGAACGATCTCTGGAAAGAAAGCAGATTAACAAAAACAACATCTTTTTTTTTTTTTTTTTCAGTCATCATTTTGTAAATTTTATTTTTATTTTTTTATTCGGTCATTAGTTTTCATCTTACGTGGATTAGATGTGTTATTGATCGATCCACGTCATGGCGCGTGTGTTTTTCCTCTTTTTTACATTTTGGGGAGGGGCATAAAGGATTTGTTATTACAGAATCTTGATGTAACTCCAGTAAAGTTCAGGCTATAGGAGAAACGATGATACTTTACCACCAAAATTATGCATTACACCTTATAAATCGATATATTTAAGATAGAACAATATTTTTGTTTTTGAAATTGTTCAAGTATTATTATTACAAATACCAAATACAGTTTTTAAATAAATTTGAGAGCCAACAAGTAAAATTTATTGTATTGAAATTTAGAAATAAAGATATTGTTATAAAATAATATAAAATTAGTATATAATATATATATGCCTATATATGCCTCTTAAATAATAAATATTTGAAATGGTTTAGTGGTAGAATGTCTTAATTGTATGGAAGAAGTCGTAAAAGAGAATTTTTTTTCACCATATAATGGTATTTTGAAATTCAAGTCCATCGTCTTATTCTCTATAGTAAAAAAAATCATTTTTCCTTTCCCACTATACTTATTTATGTTAAAAGTAATTTTATTGATAATATAAATAATTAATTTCACGGGAATAAAAAAATAATATGTTAAAAGCATAAATACATTAATCATGTTATTAAAAAAAAACTTTTGCTTTTTAGCATAAATTTGCTTTTTAGCATAAATAATACAACAAACAATTCGTGCAATTGTTGCAAACCATAGGAACTAAATAATTTTTTTTCTACCAAAAAAAAATCCACATTATAGACTGGTACAGTATTCGACCATGAAGCCCCTGTTTACTGCTGAGTCATGAAGAAATCGTTCAAAGAACTGAGTCAATTTAAATTACAAGTAACTCGATTTTGGGGGATTGTTTGCAGCAACTCAAACAACAACGATCTACGTATCCTGTCATGGAGATCTTTTATCTCTAATAACTCCCTCATCTCCTTGCCAAGCATCTTCTGTAATTCTTTCCTTCCTTTATCAACCATAAACCAACCTCAATGACTCAGTCCACCGAGTCCCTTTGGTAAAGACCCATCTTGCTCAATCTCTGGTTATTTCTACACCAAACCTTCTTTTCTTTCAAAAACCTTCTAGCAATTACCTGGGTCCAGAGCCAAATGGCAGCATTAATTCCAAAGGCCTCGTCCAAAATAAGAGTGCTTTCTATAATGAACTATAACCACAGTGGAGTCAAAATCCACCAATCCCGATCATGACCTCAAGAATTCTGAGTTGAGGAAGGAACCCAAGTTTTCCACACTAGCCCACGTCCTGACTCGCTCCTCAAATTCATTCGGCAGTCCGAAGTGAGTTATTCTTTAGTGAGTTATCTTTTATCCTTAAAGTCCAAAAGAAGGGAAGTCCTGATAACTCTAAACCAAATGCCAACTCAGTTAATTCCTGTTGACTCACTTCCACCTCGCTCCCGAATGCTATGTAAACAACAGATCCTTTGTTTTGACTGTTTAACCATTGACTGATTATACGCCACGTCTCGTCTTCTTCACCATTGACATCGGGATCTGAAGGTGGTAACAGACCTGTTGGAAGCGTAGGCTTGCCGTGAAGCTGTTCGACAAGCCTTAAAAAGTCACCCTCCAACTCGAAGCAGCTCCGTATAGCTATAACATCACAACCTGCCATTACTGAACCCAAACGAAACATATCGGAGCAACCCGAATCATCACATGATCAAACGCCTTTCTCTTGCCTCATGTAAACCCGAAAACCCGCGACTTTTGAGGGGCGAAAACCGGAAAAAACCCACTTTAGGTGGAACGGTGAAGTTCCTTCTGGCTGAGTCCGTAGGATCATCACCGTTAAGCATGGCCGATGATGATCCAAAAAAGTGTTAGGAGACCAACCACATAAAATACTGAAAAAGGCCACTTGAGATTCCGAATCGGCCGTAAATAAACGACGGTTAACCAACCACCATAAATACTGAAAAAGGCACTTGAGATTCCGAGATCGGCCGTAATACGAGGTAACCAGAAAGGTGCGAAGTCGTAAATAATCCAATCAGGAGTAGAAGTTTCTAGAAACTGAAGCAGAGGGCATTGCAGGTTATCGTAGGCTTTCTTGAGGTATGGAACCTTGTGCGTGGGAATGTCAGTGGTGGCCTCTGAATTAGGGGGGAGATGGTCTTCAGAAGGTAAAGTGAGGGTTACTAAATGGACAAGGTTTGCTAAATTTGGAGGGATTTTGGGCAAACGCTGGATGTTTTTAGGGGTAGAAATAAAGGAGATTTTGTGACCTCTTTTGGCTAAAAGCTTGGCGAGCTCGAGGAATGGGATTATATGACCAAACGCTAGCCATGGAAACAGAACAATATGGAGCTTTTTAGGTTCATTCATGGTGAACAGAGGACAAATGTAGAAGCCTACAAGCTGCTTGTAGAAAATCCTTATATCGAAAAATGAAAATCATGATAAGCAAAACTTTGGTCTAGTCGCGGTTGATATTGTATCAAAAAATATCCTTTAGCAGATTGAAAATACTAAAATGGCCTTGTTTTAATTGAAGGTAGGGACAAATCTTTGCAAAATGAAACTTTGCCAGTTGGAGGATAATTTAGAGACCAACCTGTGGAAAAGTAAAAGAATCAATTTAAAGCACTAAATTACTAAAAACTATTATTTTGCACAAACCTACCAATCTGGGAGTCTGGGAAAATTTGATTTTATTGCTAAACAATTCATTTTTTTCCTCTTTTTTCTTTTAAAAAAAAAGAAAAACAATCAATTATTTTATCTTTACTTTATTAATTAAAACAATTTATATTAATCCAATTCCTTGCGGCATATGTTTCTCATTATTATTGACTCTTGCACACTAAATACAAGCACATATTGCCCCTCCCAATTCACCGGAATAATTCGAAAACCGGGGACTCAGTACACCCAACTCGGTGAGTTTGTAGAAGCTCAACGAATTGGTCAATATAACGGTCATGTAGTTCTTTATGTGCAAATAACTTCGACATCTCTTTTGCATTCTCTCTATACAATTTTCCTTCCTCCTCAACCATAACCAATTTTACTAAGTCAGGGGGGAGATTGTCAACCTGAGGTAAGGGAAGGCTTATGAAATTTATATTGGATGATAAATTTGGAGGGATTTTTGGCAAACGTTGAATGTTTCTAGGAGTAGATAGAAAAGAGATTTTGTGACCCTTCTGGGCTATGCGTTTGGCGAGTTCGAGGAATGGGATCATATGGCCGAATGCTAGCCATGGAAAGAAAGCTACATGAAGCCTTTTAGGTTCAGTCATGGCGGATTATTGGTGTTACCCTGTATCTCATAGCTTCGTATCGTGTCATATGTAGAAGTAGAACTAACGAGGAACCCAGCGAGCCAAGGTCCTGTGATATGATTTGTAATATTTAATTTTATATTTAAGTTTTTCATCTCAATCAAATGATGTGATGTGTCACGATCGATATGATACGACAACCTCGGCGGCGGTGCGGTGCTCCTGCATTTTGGATCGTGGGCACTTGAATTATTAAATGTTAGTATTTTGTTTTTTTCTTTTAAAAAGGAGGGAATTACACATTATACAACACTGGGCCAAATGACCTCGACGTGATCAGCATCCAAAAAGCCCAGTCTGGAGGAGGATTATTTTATTACCTCATGTCTCCATAATATAATAATTTTGTTTCTACAAATACGATTTGGTTGTGAAAAATTTAACAGTAATTAATAAAATTTTTCAATTTTACCCTTAAAAGATATGATAATTAATTTCAATTATTTTTAAAAATAATTTAATTAAATTAATGAATTATTTTTATAATTTAAAAAAAATTATTTTTAATAATTTATATTTATGGATTGGAATAGTATTTAATAATTAAAATAATACTTTAATTTTCTATTCTTCACTTTGTATGCAAAATAGTCTGGTTTTACATCACCGTTCGATTTGAATTAGCAAAATCAATGTATCCGTCCATGAATATGGACTTATAAGCACCCATATCATTTTGAAATTGAGAGGATGTGAGATAGATAATAACTTTGAAGTTAAGAGCACAATAGGTTCTAAATTTATAATGTGATAAAACAATTTAGGGTAAATTTATAAATTTAGATTTTAAATAATTCATAATAATTAGTTTTTAATAGCAAAAAATTCAATAATTCTATAACTTTTTAAGAAAAAACAACAAGATACATAATAATTAGTTTTTAATAGCAAAAAATTCAATAATTCTATAACTTTTTAAGAAAAAACAACAAGATATATTATTAAAATTGATATATTATTCTAAAAAAGTAAAATGTATAATAAACTTTATTATTAATAACATTATTGGAACCGATCCTTGTAAAATTATTTGTAACTTATCTTCTTTGTTCTTATTCTTTTGTTTTTTTTCTGGTTAGAATCTATGGATTGCTATATATAAATCTATGTTTACTTATTTTTTCTACCTGTGCAGTTCTTAATTGGAGAATTCAACTCTAATTTTGATGGTTGAATGTTGATTTTTTGATGGTTGAATGTTGATTGTATATGTGAACTTTAGAAATTGAGACTGCATATTTCCTTCATTTTAACGGTTTTCATATTTCTGGCCTAAAAATATTGAAAATTTAGGGCTTTTCTTATGTAAATTGGTATATCTTGTGTTAGTTTTTGCTTACAAAATAAATAAAAATGCTTTTTTATTTAAGGCTAATTTTTGTGGATTTTTATATTTCCACCTTAAGGATTGAGAAATTTTTACAAAATGCAATCTTCTGAATGTGTTATGTCCAATAGAAAGATATTTGATTATGAATATAAATGAATGATTAAAAAAAAAAAAAAGTTTTATTTTTTTATACAGTGTGTGTCATGTTGGAATTTTCCTTTTTTAATATTTACTATCCAGGAAAAAATATTTTCATTTTGAACTTATTGTATATTATTTCATCAAACAATAAATCTTATAATATGTTACTTAAATCTTATAATATGTTACTTAACAAATAATAGTAAATAATAGTGTGTTTCATTATATCTTTATTTTTGAAGTGTAGTTTATATTAAATTAGTCAATTTTAAATTAATATGCATAAACACATTAATAGAATTATTCCAAGCTATTAATATGCGTACCTATAGTTAATAAAATAAAATAATAACAAATATTCTAAACTTTTTCACAAACAATAACAAATTTATAATGTGAAAAATTGAAGAAGAAAATCAATTAATAAAATAAAATAAAAGAAATAAAAAATAGTGAATCATTAGAATTCCAAGAGACGAAATACACTTACATTATTCAAATTTATTAACTGAAAATTCCAACTATTTTGAGAAAATCACAGTCATTTGATCCTCTGAGGTAATGTTTGCTTTCTCTCAACATTTGTTCTCTCAATCAGCTCTAAAGGGCCTATTTATAATGAGATTTTAGGTCAATTAGATTAATATTAAGATTCCTAATTGATTTAATATTCCTATATATTTAGTTGATATTTAATATTTCTTAATGATTTTCTTTAAAAGAAATAATAATAACTTCTTCTTTTTTTTCCGTTTCTTGTATAATTTAACAATTAGGATCACGGTTCTTAATGATTGGTCTTTAAAAGAAATAATAATAACTTCTTCTTTTTATTCCCGTTTCTTGTAATATATTAACAATAGGTATCAATATCAGTGAATTAATATATGATAGTTTTTATTTTTTTATTTTTTTTGTTCGTTTCTATAGTGTACTTCAATACGTTGTAGGTATTTAAGTTATTTAAGAACATCTAGAAAATTATTTTATATTATTAATCTTATTTTAAATTTTTTTAGTCCAAAGAAAAATTAAAATTATGTAATCTAGAGTAATAACGACTAAAAAGTCACCGATATTTTTTAATATAATAGTATAAATAATAAATTAAGAAAAGTTTTCTAATTAAAATGAAACGAAATTCGATGTAATAAAATACAATAAAATTAAAATTTCTACTAAATCAATTAATAAAATACAATAAAATTAAAATTTCTTAATTAGAATAGGACTAAATTATCCTTAATTACATTTTTAATCAACTAATAAAATTAAAAGTTCACAGGACATTTTAAGAATCCAATGTCCCCATTCGTACTTTTATATATATTATAGATAGATAACCACTGTACATGAAAAATAAACTGAAAAGCTCATTCATAAATTCATCGCTAACCTATATTTTTCCTTTTTTTTTATTTTTTTTATACAAGAACCTGATGATGTTCGTAGAATTCCTTTCAGTGGGATCTGCCCCTGTCCAGTAGCACCTTCTGACCAATTTTGGTGCAGGAACAGCAATTTGCAGCTTTGGCCCTTTCAGTGGGATCTGCCCCTGTCCAGTAGCACCTTCTGACCAATTTTGGTGCAGGAACAGCAATTTGCAGCTTTGGCCTGCAAGCGATGCTAATTTTGTATCACAATACAGTCACAAGTATTGGAAGTATTAATACAAGAAGAAAAATTCAGCTACCCTTGAAAATATGGTAGTATGTTGGTATAAGTGAATTCCGAAAATATGTGTAATTCATTTGAAATTTCATGTTTTCAGAACTTTTATGAATTAAAAAGAAGCACATTTCATTCTCATCAATTCAACTTCATGGAGTTCAATTTTAACTGAACCAAATATTACTATTTCTACATGAATTTTATATTTCAAATCATTTACACTAAACAGGGGGTTAAGGCTATTTTACCTTTTCTGGATCCAATTTGCAGATTCCTGAAACCAATGTTCAAGGATTTAAGACTTCCATTGTTGGCTTCAAATGTAAAACCTAAACAGGAACACAGCCACAAAACAGATGCAGGAAAGGTTCAGAACTTACGAAACCTACTCCGGATGAAAGTATTAAGTTTTAGATAATTAAAAATGAAGCAGTATGCAGATAAGTGATACTAATGCCTGTGGCATACACATAGGCAGCAGAGAGTAAAGGAAAAGTAGAAGGGATATCACGGTGCTGCAAAGTAATTGCCAAAAGAATCAAAGATGACATAGAAATATAGAATCCAAAACAAGAAGGCATTACAAGAAAAGACAATATGCAATTTAAAATGTGATGTATTTGCTCATTCTATTTAGTTTACATATATCTTTACCCCTTTGTTTTGACAACAGAGTTGCTTAACATGGCAATGTAGAATAACCTACCAATACAAAATAACAAAGGAAAATATTATCCAATTGAGCTGGAAGGAGAGCAGAACGTGGAAAAAAGATAAAAGGATGAACATATTAGAAAGGTTGATGTGCATGGCACAACAGGCTCATACCATCCAAATAAAATCCTTTACCTTAATAATCAGCCTTTAGGTTGGTAAATCTTTGGTTCCATTAATATTTTATCATCAAAGCAGGGAATAATGCTGAAAAACCCATTACTCAAGGTAGAATTAAAACAGCATCCTGTGAAGAAGCAAATGAGAATAATCACAAAGATCAGATCAGAAAACTATTAAAACTTAAATGAGTTTATCTTACACTATAACTTGCACCTTATCTAAGGAAAACTTTGCAGTTCAGAAAACTATTAAAACTTAAATGAGTTTATCTTACACTATAACTTGCACCTTATCTAAGGAAAACTTTGCAGTCCAACACAACTATGTTATAAATTTTTCTTTCTTTTATATTCCCTTCATTTTCCTCCTCAATTGTAGACAAGCTTTTGAAGGTAAGGCTGAATCCTTTCATCCCCTCCTCCCACATCAGTCCTCACCAAACAAAATACACCATTATAAAATTATCCTAGACAGTGAGCTTAAATACACAGGAAGTGTACGAGAGAAAGCCTCCACATTGATTGCTTTGGTTTTCCCATTTCCTAGTTGCTGCTTCCAAGACTAATCTCGCTCCAAACGTTTTTGCTCCGCTTCCAAGAACTCGTTTTTGGTATGCTTAGATAATATAGTTAATTTTTCAACATCCTAAAACGTGATTTAACACTCATCTTCAATGGTAATGTCTTTTTGTTTAATAACTACAGAATTTTTTTATTGCATTACTATTTTAACTACGCTACTTTGCCCTAAGAATCAGAAGATCTCACAATGAACGAGATGATTATGTCAAAATTGAACAAAGAAAAAGCCACCGGAAAGCACATGTGGCAAGCTCGTGAGAGTGTTATAGCAAGTCACAGCTCGAGAACAGCTTTTTCTTTTCTTTTATATTCCCTTCATTTTCCTCCTCAATTGTAGACAAGCTTTTGAAGGTAAGGCTGAATCCTTTCATCCCCTCCTCCCACATCAGTCCTCACCAAACAAAATACACCATTATAAAATTATCCTAGACAGTGAGCTTAAATACACAGGAAGTGTACGAGAGAAAGCCTCCACATTGATTGCTTTGGTTTTCCCATTTCCTAGTTGCTGCTTCCAAGACTAATCTCGCTCCAAACGTTTTTGTATCTTAGATAATTAAGTATTTTTCCCATCCTAAACGTTACACTCATCTTCATGTTAATGTCTTTTGTTAATACTAACAGAATTTTATCATTCTATTTTAACTACGCTACTTGCCTAAGAATCAGAGATCTCACAATGACATTAGAGATTATGTCAAATTGAACAAGAAAAAGCACCGGAACTTTGTTATAGCAAAATCAGCTAACAGCTTTTCTTTTCGGATAAGTACACTCAAAATCATAACTAAGCAACACTGGTGTTAAAAAATAAATAAATAAACACTTTGATTGCAAGAATTACGCATTCTAATAAATTGGTACTGGAGTTCAGTCAGAAAAACCTTATCGTCTAAACAACAGGATTGGCACTACAGCTCACACACCTTGGCTGCAAGATTCATTATCAAAAGTCATATTAGCCAAAGCTCCTTTTCTTCCTCAACGTAAAATATCAAGTTTTCTAGCTGTATTTTCCTCAAAAACCCAGCATTTGATATCCAGGAGAAACTAGAAAGCATCTTTATAACTAACAGACAAATATATCTGTAATCAAGGTTGATAGTATATATCTGTTGCTATAATGCCATAGCTCCTTTTTATGAAAGTTCTTCAACTAAGCTTTAACCCTAATTTCTATGTTGTTAAAACCCTATTAACTTGTATGATTATTCAAAGCAAAAAAAGGGTGTCCTGGTGCACAAGGTGTCTCAAATTGCAGGCTCCGACCAAAAAAATAAATAAATGAAGTATACCATTGATGCAACCTAATTCCACATTGAATTTTTATGATATTCTCCAAATTGCATTCCGCTTTCAAAGATGTTTTGACAATATGCATAAAGATCCTGCAAAGTTTGTGTCCAGCAGTCTAGGAGAAATTCTCAGCACTCATTAACACGAATATTCCAACTATCCAAATTTAGAACTGTAAACAACCAATCTCAAAAACACTAAAGTATTTCCATCAAATGGTAGCAACCTAAACTAAGCAGCTGAAAGCTCAAAGATATTTTTTTTTTTTTCTCACTAAAGTAATTAATCAACAAAGGAAATAGCATATAGACGCTAAATGAGACATCCATCTATTGCAAAAATTGCCAAGTACTAATGTAAGTAATAACATCTCATGGCTTGAAAATTAACCTGAAATAGCCAAATTATTGTCCTTCGAAATACCATATGCTAATAATGTGTGCTATTTACTAAACCTCCAAGAACATAATACCCGATCATTTACTTCCATTTTAATTCCTCTTATGATATTCTTCTAGAAAAAAAGAAAAGATATTTGGAAAGCAAATGGGAAAAAAAAAGGAACCTGAGAAGGTTACTGAACACTTGCCTCCTGATATTTGTCGAAGATTTCCTTTATGTACTTGGTTCTACTGCTACATCCAGCAGTTTGCGTCCCATAAAACAGGCACTCCCTCAGTATCAGGCTATGGCAGAGTCTTGAAACCAATAATTATAATCCCAAGTATTTATTTTGAGATTGCATGTCAAAATAACCTGAAATTCCATCTGTATATAACAGTAATTCAACATGGAATTGGAAACACTTTTCTCCATGTAAATGACAGCTTCAACAGAAATGATACCAAGGATTACGTCTCATCAAGTCCTTCAATTAACATTCTGTATGTCTGCGAATGAATCTGGCAGCCTTTTGTCTCCATGATGCCCAGCAATTCAGAGCATCTATCAGCAAGGCCTCTACTAAGTAAGCCGTCAATGAGAATTTTCCAAGCTACTTCGTCATTATTATACCCATAGTGAAGCAAATTACAGAAAATTGCTTTAGCCTTATCTTTATTCCCTTCATCATATAACCCACAGATGAGCAAGTTCAAAGACTCTAGAAGAGGTAAATGACCATGCTCCACCATAGCATCCACCAGTCTCACTGCATCCCCATAAATACCAAGCTTACAGCAACAGTTGAGAAGAGAATTATAAATATCTTCGCTGGGGAACATTCCTCTTTCATTCATATGATCTAATAACCTTTGGGCCACTTCCATACGCTCCACCTTGCAAAGTCCCACAATAAGCTTTGTGTAAGTGTTAAGGTTAGGTGTACAACCATGTTCCCGCATCTTGTCAAAAAGTTGCAGAGCAGTTTCAAATTCCATTGTCTTCCACACATCAGCAACATCAACAAAGGAGACATTTGGAACTGAATCAAGCCCCACATTGTTGCTTGCCTTTGTTAGCTTTTCCTTTGAAAGATGCTTGATTAATAAACAATAAGTATGATGAGAGGGATCACAACCCTTATCAAACATGCGCTTTAGAACATCAAATCCCTCACTTAATAATCCCAAACATCCATATGAATCAATTAACAATGTGTAAGGCAGTGCATCAGGCATAATACCTTTTTCAATCATCCTAGCCATCACATCCTCTGCCTCTTTTAAGTTCCCTAAGCTGCAATATGAATGAATAAACGCTGTGTAAATATAAACATCAGGCTGGTGTCCTGAAGAAACCATTTGAGCAAAAAGCCTATTAGCATGCTCAAAATCACCCTCTTTCAACATTGCTACAATAAGAATTGTATATGTGGAAACTGTGGGCTTCACTCCTTTCTGTACCATATTTTCCGACAAGAACAAAGCCTTTTTCACTCTTCTCTCTTTGCAAAACCCATCTATAAGGGCATTGTAAGTAGATGAATTAGGCAAACAGTCCTCGGCAGACATTCTTTGTAGCAAAGACTCAGCATCATCTATCTTCCCAGCTTTGCAATACCCATCAATTAATGCGGTGTATATCACTTCATTTCCTTCTACTCCTTTCTCCTTGAGAGACTTAAATAAAATATAAGCTTCTTCTATCCTCTTATTTTTACAAAGAGTGTCTATAAAAACACTGTAAGTCCACTCGTCAGGAACCAGACCATTTTCCTTCATCAAATCAAGCAACCTATAAGCACTATCTAAATGACCTATTTTACACTGTCCAATGATCAAGGAATTATATGTAACAAGGCTTGGTGTCAGCCTATGCTCAAGCATTTTACCGAGCAATGCCATTGCCTTGTGCACATTTTTCTTTTTGCAAAAACCATATATCAATTCATTGTATGTGCGCTCATTTGGGTGACAATTATTTGAGTGCATCAAATCCAAAATTTCCTGTGTTGACTCCATGATACCCCCCTTGCAATATCCATCAATTAAAGCATTGTAAGTAGCCACAGTTGGAACCAACCCATTCTCCATCATCTCATTTAGAATTCGTCTGCCCTCATCAAGCTTTCCTTCTTTACACACGGCATCAATCATCACAGTGTAAGTATGAACATTTGGCTGACAACCTTTTTCCCTCATTTCATTAAACAAATTAATAGCTTCCAATTTCCTATTGTTTTCAAACAATGCATCTATAATCACTGTGTAAGTACGAACAGTCGGACAACAATCATCTTCCTTCATCCTCTTAAACAAACTAATACCCTCATCAATCCTTCCAGACTCACAAAGCCCATGTATAAGATTCGTGTATGAAACCTCATTTCTTCGACAACCCTTTTTTGGCATCATCTTAAAAACACCATATGCAGCATTTACATCTTTATTCCTGCAATGCCCCAATATCAATGAAGTATAAGTAAAAGTATCAGGCCTCAAACCCGCCTGCAAAATCTTACTCACGTATAAAGCAGCCTCAACTACATTACCGATCTTACAATAAGCATTAACCATAGTATTTAAGGTGTATATATTCGGTGGAACCATGTCAATCAACATCTCAGCATAAACTCTCGTCATCTCATCAATCATTAAGAACCTTGATAACATCATTAATAGCTCATTATAGGTTCTAATACTGAGCTTAAACTTATTGTCATTATCATCTCTATTCATTTCCCTTAAAGAATCTAGCACAAACTGCACATCATCAACAGAAACGCAACTTTTAATCATGGAAATACGTATTTTTTCAGAAACACCAAAAAATCTATTTCTAATCAAAATGTGTAGAAGGAAAGAATGAGATTGGACGCTATGCTTAAACCCAGGTTTTCTCGCTATAAATTGGAAAAACCTGAGAGCTAATTGGGGATCGAGATTTGGATTATTAGCGAAGAGAGAAGATACATGAGAAGGAGAGATGCTTGGAATTAGATTGCGAAGAGAAGGATGTTTCTGCCAATTTGAATGAGAGAGGATAGAGAGGAGCTGAGAAAAGAGATCAGTTGGGTCAGGGTCTACCTGAAGAGAAGCGGTTGAGGATATGGAAAAGGATCTTTTGAGGAGGTGATGGTGAAGAAGGAGGATCGATAACTCACCCGTGTGAATAATGGCCGTTGATTTTCTCATCTTGGAGAATCGGATTCCGGTGAGGTCTCCATTAATGGAGGTGAGTTCTCAGGTATTTCGGTGCATTTTGGTTGATTTTGGATCAGAGGGAGCCGAACAACAGTGAAAGGAGAAACAGAGTTTATTCTCTTCAAGAAACCTGGAAAAGTGGAAATGGTGGCTCAGGACGCACTGCGCAGCAGCGGCTGAAGAAGAGTTCGAGGATCTTCCGATCTTGGGCTAGCCCTGCTTTACCATTTTGAGTCCAAAAGACAAAATTGGGCTCGACTTGAACCGATCAAGCAGCCTCCAATTCACGGGTCCAATACATACAACGAGAACTCAACCGAGTTGTCGTCTGGTGCTTATCTATATTCTGTAATCTGTTAGTATTAAACTACGGTACGGATCATACTCGTCACAAAACTCGAGGGAGCATCAAGTGATCGTCCAACGACTGCGCGTAAAAATCTAACGACGGAAGGCAGGAGAAATAAATATTATAATGTGTCGTTTGGCAAAATACCTAATATGTTAATGTCTTAGATTGAAGTCCATTTGATTTTTATTAAAATTAGTAATGGATTCACTTAATAGTCAAATGTTCTTTTTTATGGGCAAATTATTAAAATCTGAAAAAATCCTAATATAACTAAACATCTAACTTTAGTCTATCAAGCCTCCCGATACATCCAACCTAGTTCATAAAGTGCTAAGTTAAAATCTAATTAACTTTGATCAAATCAATTTAGCGATATGATATTTTAAATTTAAAGACATTTTGATATTTACCCTTTTAATTAATGTAAAAACGACATTAATTGGTTTTCAATCTTGCCTCGTGGTAAAATTGATACTAAATCTTCAATTTCAAATTCAATTATTAAAAAAAATAACATAGAACACAATTAAAAATATGAAAAGTTTAGGATAGATATGTTTATTAGGGCTCATGGATTTGATTGTTACTGTAGACGTATAAATATGTAACCCTGTTCTATTCAATTGAGCACATCGATGACTTTCTCTGAAAGTATATACAGTAACAAATGCATATGTAAACATAGAATCAGGAAATTCTCTTTTGTCTGTCCAAAACTCCAAATACATCCGAAATAAGGTGCAAGATTTCAACGTCTGATAACAAAAATTTAGAAAACATCTACCTATGGTTTGTGACTCAGTTGGCATCGCATAATGAACATATGAGAAGTGCTTTCGAATTCGATCTTTACTAAACATATCTGCAGGGGAGGGACGGTCCCTAATAATAAAGTCTGTATTAGAAAACATATAATTTTGACTAATGTCAATCAACTGCAAGGGAGGGACGGTCCCTAATAATAAAGTCTGTATTAGAAAACATATAATTTTGACTAATGTCAATCAACTGCAAGGGAGGGTCCCTAATAATAAAGTCTGTATTAGAAAACATATAATTTTGACTAATGTCAATCAACTGCAAGGGAGGGACGGTCCCTAATAATAAAGTCTGTATTAGAAAACATATAATTTTGACTAATGTCAATCAACTGCAAGGGAGGGACGGTCCCTAATAATAAAGTCTGTATTAGAAAGCATATAATTTTGACTAATGTCAATCAAAGTCGATGACTTGTCATTAGGCATGGCTAGTTCATTGAACCATTGGTTCCGGCTCACGGAACTGATGGTTCAAATTTTTTAAAATGTTGAACCTGAATTGGCCCTTAAACCGTTGGTTTCTGTCCGGTTCCGTTCACGATTTCCGGCAATATATGATTTTTTTTAAATCGATTTTAATGTTACATCTTTCTTTCCTACATATTAATATGAGTTTAAAAAATATTGGTGAATTTTATTTTCAATAAATTTTAGAATGCTTATACTCATACGGAATAAAATTAATTAATTTTACAAAATAATCAAATAAATTATCACTTTATTTTGTTTAAATGTTATAAATTATAAGAAAATTTTGAAAAATGCTTTAAAAGAATGTAATTTTAAAAGAAAATTTTGAAAAATGCTTTAAAAGAATGTAATTTTAAACTTAGCAAAAATTTTAAAAGGGTAAGAAAAAAAAGTTAAAAATAATATAAGTTTAGACTAAATATTTATCTTTTCTTTTTACCATTTTACTTTTTAGATTTTTAACTTTTTAAAGTAAAGTGTAAAAAAAAAATCTTAAATAAAGTATATCATGTAGTATAATGTTATTGAAACTTTTAGAGATGTATAAAATATGCTAACTGATTATCATTTTGAAAATAAAAATAGAAAAATTTTGATTCGAATCGGACTGAAACCGCCGATTCTGGTTTAAAATTTTGAACCACCGGTTTCGGCCCTGTTCGTCTCCAGTACGATTCGATTCCGGTTCGGTGGCTATGCCTACTTGTCATAGCATTATTCTACCTTTTTCAAACTAGGAAAAATAATTTTTTTTCATTATTATATTCAAACATAAAAGTAAAAAATAATTATGGAAAAAAATGACAATTCTTTATTATTTTCCTCCTTTCAATATTTTTATTTTCTCTCATTTCCAAAGAGTTTCGTAACTTATACGGCTCAGCAGTCAATTCTTTTGGTGTATTCTCGTGTTCATATTTAGAAAGTAAAAAGAATACAAATGATAGAAAATTTTTTCCAATATTTTTTCTTTATTTTTGCTTACCTCTTTCTTGTTTAAAGAGAAAAAAAAAAATCGTTTTTTTTATTAAAGATATTAAAGAAAGTAGCTCTTTTAAAAACAGCTCTTTTATTAAAAAAGAAAAGTGATTAAATTAAGCGAATAAATGTAGCCCTAAAATCTCACTTGCAATCAATGCTCCTTTCCACGTATCTCAAATTTGTTTCATTCTCCATTGCAATTTGCATGCATGCTTAGCCATTAAGAAAGATTTTTGCCCCAACACCATCCTTGCCACTAATTTGTTAAAACATAAAAAAAAAAAAATGAAACTAAGTAGTATATATAAAAAAATGAAAAAGACTAAGTATAATATCGAATATATATATATATAATATATATATATATATATTTGAGTGGAAGCTAAATAGTTATAATGGTCTTAATATATATATTTGAGTGGAAGCTAAATAGTATAATTGTCTTAATTATTGTGTTCAAAAATTAAATATTCATTAATTCATGCACCATTAATATAAGGACATTAAAAAATTATGATATAACCATGTTAATCATTTTTTCTTTTAAACTGTATGAAAATTGTATTATTTAAGGGCCAAAACTTCAAATATCAATTAATTCAAATCAAATTGTCGTTATTTGCATGTTGTTTATAAATTTTTCCTTGACCAAAATCCTCATGTAGAAGTACACAGTACAACCGCGTCCAGCGAATTCTGGCGCGCTTTATAGCCCCTTTTTTAATGTCTCTCCACTGTACGGACTTGCAGATTTCTGAAACCGTAGAGAGGAAGGCAAACCAAACGCAAGAATATTCCCTCCATTTTGGGGCAGCAACAACTCTCCGGACGCAACGCCGTTTCCCCGATGCAAGAAAGCGACCATAGCCGCAGACGGCGTCCCCGTCAATTGCAGCGGTTCGTTCTGCAACCCGGCCAGGTCGCATACCGAGTCGTCTGTCATTTTTCCATCATCGGTGGCCTAATCGGCACTTCCGGCTCCGTCATCTCTCAAATTCGAAGAGACACTGGGTGCACTATCCAATGCGAACCGAAAGTGCAAGGTTCGGACCACCGGATGATCCTAGTAGTTGGTCCGGCTTCTCCCGGGAGGAGAATCGCGTTCAAGTCAACAGAGGATGATGATGAGGAGGAGGAAAAGGAGCTTATATCGGTGGCTCAGGACGCGGTCATTAGGGTTTGTGAGAGGATGTGGGAAGTTGAGGCACAGAAAGGAGGAGCAGGTGAGAGTGAGAGTGGCGTGCGTGAGGGTTATTGTGGACTTTTGGCAGATAGGACACAGATTGGTGCCGTGATGGGTAGAGCAGGGAAGAATGTAGTGAGAATGAGGAGAGAGAGCGGGGCCCAGATCAGAATCCTACCGGCCCCGCACTGCGCTACAAAAGATGATGAATTGATTCAGGTTTCTTCTATATGCTTCTTTATTTGTTCTGGAGTGGAGGACTTGGTTTTTGTTTGTTGAAAATGAAAATGAAATGATAGATGATTTTGACATTTTGGCTTGGTTTTACTGTCGTTTAGTTCCTTCCACAGTTTCTTTCTTGGTCTTTTGCTTGTATCCTTTATTTACAATTGCAATGGCTTTGGGTTGGAAGCTATTCTTATTCCTAAAGAACTCCATGATAATATATGCGAGTGTTAATCGGCATGTCGACTGTTACTAATGCTAATAAACATGGTTAAGTGGAGCTTTTTAGATTTGCTTCATATATATATATAAGATGCTTTTTAGATTTGCCTTCATAATAATATATATATAATATATATATTATATATATATATATATATAAATAATAAAATTAGGCAAATTTCATATCTTTATAATGGACTTAGCTGCATAGATAAGTGCGATTGTTTTTTAAAATAAAATTCTACAAAAAATTCTGGTTTATCGGGTAGGCGTCACTTTGCTTTCAGCCTTTTGATTGATGCTTCTTTTTTTCTTGAAATTGCTTTAATTTGGTAAAAATTGAGCTGACACTATAAAATTATCTGTAACTATGTTGGTTTATGAATCCCCTTCATAGTTCATTATTAGATATTTAAGTTGGGGACTGAATTGAAAGGATAATAATTGATGTTGTACAAGCTGGACAAGAGACAAATACTTGCATTCTGTATAAACGGAAGAAAAGCAATGCCTTCCCTCTCTCCTTATGAAAAAGATTTTATGTTATGGCAGATTACAGGTACCATTTTGGCTGTAAAGAAAGCTCTGATTGCAGTAACTGAGTGTCTTCATGATTGTCCGCCGTATGACAGAGGTCCAATGCTTTTGACCAGATCTGTTGAGAGATCTTCCTATATGGCCTCTTCTGACCCACATGCAGAATTCTTCCCACATCTTAGTTCGTTGTTGCCACCTTTGACCGAAAATACTGTAAATACTCATTCATTATCCTCAGATGCTGGTGGAAACCCCAACCAGGATGTGAAGGTTACACAACAAGAAGTTTCATTCAGGCTGCTTTGCTCCAATGGTGCAGCTGGGAGCATAATTGGAAAGAAAGGGACCATTGTCAGAACTCTACAGAATGAATCGGGTGCTTCTATTATGTTTGCTGCTCCAATCACTATGTCTGGTGAACGTTTAGTCACCATTTCTGCCTTGGAGGTTAGTCAATACAGTTGTGGAAGTTCTAGTGCTGTTATTTACGCTTATAATTGTAGAGCTTTCTATCACCTATTCTCTCATTAATACATTAGCGTCATTGCCATTGATTTGAATTGTTATCATCTAAATGTGCAATATTGTTCTATCGGTTTGGGTTGTTTATCACTTTTGCAGAACCTTGAATCATGGTACTCTCCTGCACAAAATGCCGTTATTCTTGTCTTTGCTAGATCTATTGAGCATGAAATTGAAAAGGGGCATCCATCAGTCTTGATTGAGGGTACTTCTGTAACTGCACGGCTACTGGTTGAATCAGATGTAGTTTGTTGCTTGAATGGGAATGGTGGGGAGATAGATTCCAAATTCACAGAAGGAAGTGGTGCTGATATACAGATATTAGAAGGGGAACAGAACTCGGATTGCGCTTCAGAAAATGATGTAGTAATAGAGGTGGGATTGTTAATATCTTATAACTTTCTGATTCTTTTTGAAGTTACTTATTATATAATGTTGATTTTAAAAATGTCTAAACTATTATTATACTACACACCCATGGCAACTGATGCTGTATGTGCTCAAGGAAGGTGATTTGACTTCATTCAGTATATGAATAGTTGCACTCATCTCAGTCTAATTTTAAGTCTTGTTTGGTAAATTAGCCAAGACCAAGTGGGCCAAACCTCAGCTTGGTTTATCTGTATCATCCACATTAACTCGTCCTTGTCCATTATCTAGCTTATTTTAAAGTCACCATCAAATTGACATTTTAAGAGTTGCTGGTTAATTGAGCATCTGTTCATTCTTTTTGCTTGGAAAATGATGTCTCTTTTCTCTCTTTTTTACCATTATTACATTATTTTAAGAGATCTTTTATTGCATTTTTTGTAACATCATATGGAAAAATGCCCTCTCACTTCACTCTATTTATATGTAGAAGCACATTGAACAGAACAAATACTTACGGTAAAGTTTTATTGGATTTATTACACTACTTCAATATAACCTTTACATTTCAGGATTTGACATATTGGTCACACCTTAATTCCAAGACTTATCTTGTGGACTGGATAACTATTTTCAATCTCATTTCTCAGTGTTCTCATGGAAACCAGGAGAAAACCTCAAGTTATTGTATTGATGATACCAACTTTTAGTATATAATATGATATAATATGAAGCATAGATGGGAAGCATTTAAATATCATAATAGGAATAAGAGGAGAAACTCTGGAATAGCAAAATACTAAAATAATAATAAAGCAATAATTAAGTTCTAAATTTTATCCTAATGTAGTCCTGGAAATCATTGACTGATGTTTCTGCTTCAGTTATTTATTAGTTTTACATTATGAATTTGCAGAGTTCTGTTACTTTTCAACTCATTGAGTTCTCTAGTTAATATTTCCTGATGCTTCGATTCATGGGGTTTCTCCTTAAGTTTATCCAGAAAGTTGTCTTATATAAGCGCTGGAATGTTATCATTATAAACTCTCATTTATAGTAGTTTGTAAGTGGCTGGCAGAGCCTCTAGGGTTTCAGAGAAGATTTTATTTTATTTTTTCCATTTAAATTGAATTGGCAGAATACTTTTGGCATCAACTCCCAATCAAATTATACTAAAAGTTTTATGCTTTTTGCAGATCACAGGCGAGTATAAAAATGTACAGAATGCTCTGTTTCTAGTTACTCGAAAACTGAGGGATACTCTTGTGCCTAGTGAGTTGCTCGATGAAGCAAAATTAAGGAGTCCCAATGGAAGAGTAGTGGAGGTTGCTTCTCCTAGATTACAACAACTGGCAGACCTATCCCTTGATTCTGATCGAGAAGCTAGTTTGACTAGTGCAATGGATCAGCTTGGATTCTCCAACAGCTTATGTAATGCTTCTTCACTAAGACTGCAGTTAACACAGGTGGCAGGTTTTCTTCCTCAGTGTTTCGTTGTTTGCATATTTAGTTCAGCAATGTGGTCCTTATTCTTTTTTTTTTTTTTTTTTTTTTTTGAGTCACAGGCCGAAGTAATTTAAAAGATAAAATGTTGTTACAGAACTGTCTCTGGTGTTCTTTAGTGACGTCCGAAAACCTGAGGGGATACGTCGTGTGCCTATGGAGGTGTGCTGTCGGATAGAGCATGCCAAACTTCGAAGTGGAGGGTTCTCTCCACCAAATTGGAGAGGGTTAGATGGAGGTTACCGTTTATCGATCTAGAAACTCATGTATCAAACATCTTGTTGTCAGACCCCTACGTCAGCCCTTTGATATTCATGATCCGAGAAGGCTATGTTTTGTAGCCTAGTATTTCGCCAATGGTATTTCCACCTTGCGATTTCTCCGGATATTAGCTTATTGTAAATGCGCAGTTCATATATAAGAAACATTAAGGCAAGTTAGACAACAAGGGTGGCAAGTTTCTTCGCTCAGTGTTTTCGTTTGTTTTGCATATATTTGAGTGTTTCTAGCTACGGAATACGTGGTCCTTATTCTCTTCTTTTTATCGTTTTTTTGATCTATCTTATTTTGTGTGTACGTGGCGAGAGCTTGCTAGAAAGTTTTGGAAAAAAAAGGGGAGTTCGCAGCCATTAAAAAATTTAATAACAGGATACAACAGCTCAACAGATTCTGTTGCGGGGTTCAGAACTTGAAAGATCCCTGCACTTTCCTTTGCCCAAGAGGTGCTTAATGAGGTAAGGTTGAAAGAGTCCTTCTGGAGTTATGGGAGACTGCTGCCTTGCCTTGAAAATTATGGAGGAGCATTCATCAATATTTCGTGATTCAAGCATTCCTGGATCCACATTGAGGAAGTTTTGGCGCCTTACTTCTTCAATCTCTTCACCTTTCTATCAGTTGCTTGCATATGCCGAAACCTCTTATCTACTGGGACTTCTGTATTCTCCCTCTTTCTTCATTTATATCCGCAGTTTATGTGTTCTTTGTCAATTTTGCTCTAAGCAATTGGATGTATAATAAGAGGGCGTATACAAAATATTTTTACAAGACTGTTAGAAAAAGAAGCTTCAAAAAACTGTTCAGGACTGCGCCGGGAGCCATGGAACACCTTTGGGCAAGGTCCAGCCAAGGCACCCACAACTGACTAAAGTTTCGTTTACCTTCCTGTAATCCATCTAATTTATTCCTTACCTGTCATACCTTTCCTAACACATAACTAGTTTTATCCCTACATACTCTGAGTATTTTTAAATGTGATACTTTCCTTACTCCGGCAAAAAGGTACTTATGGTAGGATCGTATTTAAGAAGTTTGTTTAGCACCACGACTCCCAAGCGGTTGAACCAGAAATTATCAGGACTAAAGTTTTTTTTGCAGGGCTAGAGAAAAGGGTTAATTGGTTTTTTTAATTATTTTTACCTCTTCCGATCTTTTTTCCTTGGAAAGTTTTGCCAAATAAACATCCTTGCATTTATTATTAAATAGGGTTTGGATATAGTATTTGATGGTATATGTATTCAAACATCCTGACCTTACTTTCTACACGGGAAATTCATTGATGATAATAACAAAATATTATTTATATGGAAATTTTAAAGTTAGAATGAGAAGATTATAAGATTTGCAGCTAGTTTTATTCGAATAAAATTAAGCTGATTTTGTTTTATTGTTTTTTTTTTTTTTTTTTTTTTTTGATTGCAGAAGTTTGGAAAAGGGAGTTCAGCAGCCATTAAAAATAATGAAAACAGCTCAACAGCATTTGTTGGGGGTTCAGAACTTGAAAGATCCCTGCACTTTCTTTTGCCCAAGGAGGTGCTTAATGAGGTAGGTGCAAAGAGTCCTTCTGGAGTTAGGGAGACTGCTTGCCTTGAATTGGATTTATCAATTGGTCAAGCTTCTGGTCCCATGAAAGTTGGCGCTACTTCACCTTCATTGCATATGCCACCGGTGACTGTTCTCCTTCTCATTTATATCGCAGTTTATGTTGTTCTTTGTCATTGCTCTAAGCAATTGGATGTATATAACATGGGTACATTTACAGACTGTAGAAAGAAGCTCAAAAATGTTTGGCAGGAGCATGGAACTTGAGAGGTCAGCAAGGCACAACACAAACTACTAAAGTTTCGTTTACTTCTGTATCATCTACGCCTTTATTCCTTACTGTCATACCTTTGCTACACGATAAAACTAGTTGTTATCATACTCTGAGTATTTTTAAATGTGTACTTACAATGTTATGTATGTCGTATTTAGAAGTTTGTTTCAGCACTTTCACTTGACAATTCTGATAAGTTTTTGCAGTGCTAGAAAGGTTAATTGGTTTTTTTAATTATTTTACAACTCTTCTCTTTTCCTTTTGAAGTTTTGCAAATATCCTTTGCATTTATTTTAAATAGTTGATTTAGTATTTGAGGTTTGTATTCACATCGACTTATTCTACAAATTCATTGATGAAATAAATATTATTTAATGGAAATTTATTAGAATGAAAGATAAAGATTTGCAGCTAGTTTATTGAAATAAAATTAAGTGATTTGTTATTTGAAAGATGGTTTAAATTTGTAAATAACTTGTTTTTGTATAATAATTTATTCTTTTTAGGAACACTCAACTTAACACGTCTGCTTTAATGTTGCAATGTAGATTATAGATAGGCATCAAGCTGATACCACACATCATCAATGTCATCCTTGCGTTGTGTGAACTGTGGAAACTAGGAAACTTTTTTGGCACAGTGAGTTGATTATATTGTAATTGATGCGGCATGTGGCTGGAACTCGATAAGAAAATGAGTTTTGATGAAATGATTTAGGTGATCGTATAAAAATAGACAGGATAACTTGCTCGAACCTCTTGATTTGCTAGTAGAATATACGATAAGTGTACTTGTTCTGGTGTTGGCACTTAATGGTGTTTGCTAATGGTTCATAAAACTTGTTCAGTATAAGGGAGTCACAGTTTTTTAGACATTATGATGGTGTTCCTACATGCAGCAATGTGCCATTACCTGCTATGTCAGTGTGAGGAAAAGTCAAAACAATGTTGCTCCCCTACCTCAAATATGTATATGGTCTTGATTTCCTACATATCTATAGTTATCTTTCTGTGAAATTAAATATGAAATTTGTTGTAAATATGACATGCATTTAATGACTGCTCATCCTTTCATTAGTTCATGCAGCAGAAAAAGATCTAATGTGGCAAATTCAGTTGTGGAGCTTTTAGTTTCTGAAGATATCATTGGTTCTGTTTTTGGCGAAGATGGCGGCAATCTGACTCGATTAAGACAGGTAATTTTGCTTTGCAATCGCAATGAAACAAAGCGAAAAAAATTAGAAAGACCACTGTTAAGTGTAGTGGTTTGTCTATTAGTTTGCTGTAATTTTGTGAATAGAAAACTGCTTTGTTTTGATAAATTCATATTAAGTTACCTGCTGCTTTATTTGGCCACTACGAAGTCGCCCCATCATAGCATTAAAATAGGAGTTTGGAAATTAAAAATTTTGATTTGTATTCAACTCATAATGTTTGGAATTATCAACTGATCACAAGTAGTTCAAATTTAATCTAATTATTATATATGTGCTAGTTTACAATTAGCTATGAATGTACGTATTAAAGACTAATAAAATTAATCAACAAGCTCCATACAAAAGATATGATCTAATAAAAGCAGTAGAAAAGTATGTGTTTTGGATTCCACTAGCATTTTTTGTCTAATGATATTTGTCTTGGGCCATATGCATATGATTCTATCAGTTCTTTTAATAGCTAATCATGTTCTGTGAATTGGCTGTAAAAATTTCTCTCTCACAAATTCTACCAACCACTGGAAAAATGGAAGAACAATACAGATTGAAACATACTTGCTTCAGTTGTGAGAAAAATGGCCAGCATAATTTGCTGGTTATGTAGTCTGTTAAACTTGTCCACTACATGCTTATAATTGCTATTTATATATATAAATCTTCTGCTATTAATTTGCTAGCGGTTTATTTTCATCAGATCTCAGGTGCAAAAGTTGAAGTATGCGACCCTTCTCCTGGTAAAAATGATAGGACGGTTGTGATTTCAGGGACGCCTGATCAAACCAGGGCAGCACAGAGTTTGTTTCAAGCCTTCATTTTAGCATACCAGTAATTTCCATAGTACCAGTCTAACCTCTTATAGTTGCCAGCTGATCGTTGGAAATAGATATCACACTTTGTGTATACTTATATCTGATGCAATAGCGTACTGTAGGTGTGGGAGTTGAATGTCAATGTAATTATGGGAATGCTAACGTTCTTCTAGCTTAAGGTGTCACTCAACAAGATCAAAACCATAGGTAACGGTGTTGTCTTTCTAACAGGTTCATCTTGGATTTGGAAGTTTAGGATAGTTCATTGCAACATTTTTATATGGTATTTTATGCTTTAATTTAAAACCTTACCGGATCATTTTTTTTAACCCGTCAATTAGACCTCTGAACTTTTGTTTTTAGTCAATCCAGTTCTTAGCTACACAATGACAGGGTTTTATGGGCTTTTATATAATTATGTTTTTATAGCTAAGACCATGAGAACTTGATGGGCAGTAAAATTATTTCTCAATTGTCTTGTTCTCGAAGTTAGCACCTGCAACTGCAAGTGGGTTTCTATTTTTCTTGAGTCCTTGAGGTCTAACTAATCTGAATTAATTGGGAATTCAACTGAATAGAAATAAGAACTTCAGGTCTAATTAATCTGAATTAAAATGAGTCATGACTTACCAATATTGATTCTGTTAGTTGAAGATCGTCTCTATTGCTTATGAGATTTCTGGAATTTGTTTTCGGTATGTTAAGCAGTTTCAAATCCACAGCATATGAAACTCTTCTAAGCACTGGATTCATTGTGTCGTAAAAAAAAAACGTGTAATTAAGTTCGTCACAGCAGAATCGTAATTTACACCATGCATTTACTATATTGCTCCATTTCTAATAACAATTCCCCAAGCAACAGAAAGAGGAAGCCTCGCCCTGTGGTTATCGCTATCAAAGACCTCATGCCTAGAGATTGGTCTTGCATTACGTATCTTTCTCACTCTGAGCTCTGTTACAATGATGGAGGGAGAGGGAGTGTCAGGAGTGGCCTTTGAACCCGCCCAAATTTCTTCTAAAAATTTATTCCTTAAAATATTAAAAATTTTAATTTTATCTATAAAATAATAAAAATTTTTAATTTTATCCTCCTTATATATTGAAAAATAATTCCGCTTTGCTTTATCTTTTTTGTACCAAAAAAAAAAAAAGGAAGATACAATCAAAGCCTAATACAAATAATCTAATCCATAAATAAAAATTTATTTAGTGGAGATGGGAATTGAATTCAAGACCTATTGGTCATAAGATCCCCCCTTTAGCCATTAGGCTTCGATCTCATTGGTATTTAAATGATTTATTAGTAAATTTAATAAAACCTTTGGGTTGATACAATATGAATATAATTATCGTATAAATGTGAAATAATCAGCTATTCATTTATAAATGAATTTTTTATTACAAAGCCATAATGCCATAATGCAAGATAATAAACTTTACTCATTACTTAAACAAACCAAACCACTGAAATTTTCTCAACCCTAAAAACTTTATTCTTGTATTATATCAGCTAATTAATTTTTATTTAATTTTGCTTTTTCTTCATTTACCTTTCCCATCGGTAATCTCTCACAAACTTGAAGAAAACTCCCAAGAAAGAATGCTATTTGTTTCGACAGCTGTACCAGTAGAAGCAGAAAATCCAATTCGAACCCATTCAGGCAAAACTTCTCTCAAATCCACAGTATATGAAAGGCTATAAACTCCTCTACTTACCGGATTCTGCGCATCAGTAAAAAACACACTCAAGTTCTTAGAAGCAGAATCATAATTCACCCATGAAGTTACTACTGCACCGTTTGTAATATCATTTCTCCAAGTAACATTAGCAACAGAAACAATGGAGTCAACAAGAATCCCCACATGATCAAATATAGGATCCCAAGGATTCTGATAAGAATCGAACTCAACCGCAACAATTTGATTTTGTTTAGAGACATTTAAAGCAGTTTCAGGGCTAAATAATCCAAGATAACCACCAGCTGCATTAGGAGGAATTTCGGAGTCAATGGGTGCAAGAAAAAAGGTCAACCCATCACCATAGATCGTCCAGTCCTTAACATCCTTAGCAATAAAAGAGAAACGACTGGTGAAATCTGATAGTTTTCCTGTTGAAGAATCCCAGATGTGGATTGGTAGAACGTAGGAGACACGACCGGCACTGTAAGTTAGGTTATTGTCTATTTGATTTTTTGTTAGTTGGAGAGATCCAGGAGAAGCGAATGCATCACCTTGGTAGGATATGCCTCCTATGTTTGGATAGAATGTGTTGAAGCTGAAGGAAACTGAGTTTGCATAGGGAAGCAGTAAAAGTAAGGAAAGAAAAATGATCTTAGAGAACTCCATTTATGTATATGATTATTCAAATGAATGCTTGAGCTAGCTAATGAAGGTGAGTTGAGGGTAGAAAGGACTTGGAATTTAAATAGGAGAGTACGTTGAAAGTTGTAATTAGAGGCCTGCAATGCCAGCTTCTTTCTCGTTGTTTCTGAATTTCCCAAGTCCCAGTTGGACATGCCGGCGAATCCCTTTTGTTTTGTACAAGCATGGTCAAATCAAGGTAGTAATATTTTTCTTAAATTTTTTTTTTTATTAAATGAGATCATCCATACAATCGAGTGTAGACAAGTCTTATCTTTCACATAATTATAAGTTTAATAGAATTTCTTCTACCTCTCTTTGTTTAATGATTAATGGATTCAACTCAGGATTCTATAAATCAATCATACTCTATGGATATCTGCGTGAATATTAGTTTTGCTAAAAATAAATGTAATAATGGAAACTTGAATTTAATATTAACTCGGTAGTTTCTTTTTTTTTTTTTTTTTTTTTTTTTTTTTTTTTTTTTTTTTTGAGTAATTAACTTCGTAAGTTTTCAAGACATTTTTTTTTTTTTTTTTTTTTTTTTTTTTTTTGAGTATTAACTCGGTAGTTTCAAGACAACATATTTAGCTGTAGTGTATATTATGATGCCAATAATTAGCCATCTTCCTAGAAATTAAGAATTAAATAATTAATTATCTCCCAACAATGAGATAGAAGAATAAAAATCTCTTACTTCTTAATTAGAGATCTTAAAATTGGAGTTATGGATATAGACTTTTTTTAAATATTCGGGGCACTTTGCCCTTTTTATAAGCTTGTCGACATGAAATCAAATTAATCAGACACTGAAATTCGAATATTGAATAGTAAAAAAATAAAATTATTTCAGAGTTTCATTATTATCTCTCCTTTAATATCTATATTTAAAGGTTGAATAGAATTTTATGAAACTTTTATTTTCCTCAAATTTAAAGTATTAATAATGAAGGTTGAAAATTTTAATACAAATATGTATTTTCATTCTATGTTATTAATTTTAATTATTTATTGAGTAGTAATTTACAAGTAAAATATGATTCTTAAATTTATTTTAGTATGATTTATTTAATTTTAAATTAATTATATAATAATTATTTTTCAAATTTGGATATATAAAATTAAAGTATATTCTATAATAAAAATTTAGAATATTTATTTATAATATTTGAATTTGTATTTTTGTTTATTATCAATTTGAATTTATACTTTTATTTATTATTGTAAATTTTACAAGAATGTTACAATTCCAACAGAACAATGTTTTGAAAATATAAATATTATTATCAACACAAAAAGTAAAATGCTGCATTGACCCGTCGAACGCTGGTACTTTGAGTTCATGACAAATTTTTCTAAAGCAAGGGGGCCATAACCCCCTCCTCCAGCCACTCTCTCCGCGAAATATTCAAAAAGTTCTATAATTAGGCAGTCAAATTATTAGACTGCAAAAATTATAATAAAACTAAAAATGTTCAATCACTAAGAAATTGCAAACATCAAAATTATTAATTACATTTAAAAAAAATAAAAAGAAAAGTGCATATTAAGGCTAACCATTGTTATTTTAGCAATTTGTGATAGCACCATCGATTCTCGAAAAAAGGGTAGAAGAATGAAATCTATTATGAAACATATAATGTCTTACAGATCGTACGATCATTACGCTTCAACCGATTTATTCTATTCCACTTCTTAGACAGAAAGCGGGCAGTTACAACTGCAAATGTAATGCCAACCAAAGCCCAAAAAATTGCAAACAAATTTGGACTTATTGAAGCCGAATTTAATATTTGCAGAGCAGAAATCGGGTCTTCAACTCCAGTGCAAATATTCTTTGCCCATATTCCATAAATAGGCAGTCCAATCAACTGGGCTGGGCTTCAAAACTCACAACTACAATTTGTCACAAATGAGTAATCAGAATTGCCACAAAAAAGCAGCATTTCACACGATCATTGAACTGTTTGATGAATTGCCTAATTAAGTGAGGTGCGTTGTCCTTCCTTCATTGGAACATTAAATTATTATCAGCAGGAGATAATTATTTGATAGAAGGGACATCTAAGTAGATATCATCATATTAAAGATGCGTTGTGTTCCTGTGCAGATTATTTTTTAGTTGGTGTCAAGCTTAACTACTCCCAACAATGGATCAACAAAGAGTTTGGCACTGGTGAGCACCCCATTCTCTTTCGTCTTTTCTTAAATATTTGATTGAGTTGTTAATTGAATCTCTTGTTCCAAATCAAAATTTGGAGATATTTAGTAAAGATGCTGAACTTCTTGCTGCCATTTTCTTATTGATTATAAACTGAAACGCAAATACTAGTACGCGAGAGAATATATGATTGTGCGTTTCATCCTCAAAACAGTTCGTAAAGAAATGGTTGGGTTGAGGGGATTTGGAATGATCATTTTGGGTGTTGGAATGTGGACAATATTTGGATTTAGCTTAACTACACAGAGATGTCAATCATGATTTAACGGTTCGCTTTTTTTTTTTTTTTTTTTTTTTTAGGTTAAACTACACAAGAGATGTTCCAATGTCATTGGGATTTTTAACGGTTTCGGCTTTTTTTTTTTTTTTTTTTCCTTATTTTAAAATGTTTTCTGATTAAAAATTTTGGCAAAGATGGTTTATTTTACTTTCAAGATGCTTGGAGTTTTTAAGTTTTTTAGAGGAATAAGGATTTTCCTTGCTCAGGAAATTAGGTGATATCCAAACCAAGAAGGGGGAAGGGACCAAAATGGACATTAAGCTAGTGGACAATGAGTGATCTCTAATTTGGGAAGGTGGAGATAGAAAGAAGGGGGATCTGCAAAAAACCATTTAATACCAATGGTGAGCTGGGGCTATTTCATGCCGCTTAAAGATTCAATTTATTTACAGGCTTTGGGGATTTATATGCATTGGCAAGGGTTGAATGCATCCCATGTTTTATAGGATTTAGTTCGGTTTTTCGCTTTCCAAAAAAACAACGAGATGATCCCATATAAAAAAACCGGATTCTTCTGTTTCATATAAAACAACCAGAAGGCGGAAGGAAAGACCAAAAAAAAGGATTACAGGAAAATTTTTCTTTTTCTTTTGGTTTCTATTTGGGAAAATTCCAAATTTCCAACTTTTTGATATTTTTATGGACATGGAAGGTAAAATAAACTGGTACCCAACAAAACACTTATCATGACTCAAAAATTCAAATGGAAATTCATGTTTGAACCCTTTGGGAAACTGGATGCCTTTTTTATAAGGATGGGGTTTGGAAAGGTCCTGACCTTGGAACATAAAAGCGGTAAGGGCCCAAAAAAAATTATGGGAAATTCAAAAAACTACAACAAACTAAAGGCCTTTGTTAATCTCAAAAACTAGGGTTGGGTGCTATATTTAATTTCATTTTGTTTTCCATTCTTTTGGCTCTATTAACCTAAAAGGTTTTTTTTTTTTTTTTTTTTTTTCCTTATAAAATGTCTGATTAAAATTGCAGATGGTAATTACTTCAGATGCTGAGTTTTTAGTTTTTGAGATAGATTCCTTGCTCAGAAAATTAGTGATTCCAACAGAAGGAGACAAATGGATCATTAGCTAGTGAACAATGAGTGAGTCTCTAATTGAAGTGGAGATAGAAGAGCATCTGCAACATTGTAATACAATGGTGAGCTGCTAATTCATGCGCTAAGATCAATATTCAGCTTTTGGATTATATGCATGCAAGTTGATGCTATCCATGTTTATAGATAGTTCGGTTTTCGCTTCCAAACAAACAGAGATGATCCATATAAACCGATTCTTCTGTTTCAAATATAAACAACCAGAGAAGGAAGACAAAAGATACAGAAATTTTCTTTCTTTGGTCTATTTTGAAATTTCAAGTTCACTTTGATATTTATGACATGGAAGTAATAACTGTACAACAACACTATCATTGACTCAAAATTCAATTGAATCATGTTTGAACCCTTGAACTGGGATGCTTTATAGATATGGGATTGGAGTCCTGAACCTTTGTACATTAGCGTAGCCAAATATGAATTTTCAACTACAACAACTAAGCCTGTATCTCAAACTAGTTGGGGTTGGCTATATAATTCATTTGTTTCCATTCTGCTCTATACCTAAGTCATAACTGAGCCTTAATCCTTAATCCAAATATGAATTATCACATTGCAATTTTTAACCTTTCGAATTCATTTTTGTGTATAACTTTTGCTACGTTTCAAGGCGATACCTTGATTCTTTTTATGCTTTCTTCATTTGAACTGAAGAGCTTCTTTTGGCTTCCCTAAGAGAGATAAGACCGTGGCAGCAATATGGTTTGAGGAAAGCCCTGCCTCTTGAATCTGATCTTGAGGCGATCCATGGTCAATATATCTGTCAGGAAGAACCATTGATCTTAACTGCAATAAGCATTAAAAACATTAGAACCAGAGTGTAGAAAAGTTAAAAAGAGAATAAGTGCAGTCTTTTGAAAAGAATATTGAGATGAATTTCGATACTGAAAGAAAAATCACCTTTAGATCTCCATCCAGAATACCACTTAAACTCAGAAAGTGAGATACATGGGAGCAGAAACCGCCAATAGAACCCTCTTCCACTGTAATTAGGATTTCATGCTCCCTAGTCAATCGCCTGATAAGATCTGTATCTAAGGGTTTGCAAAATCTTGCATCAGCTACTGTCACAGAAATGTCTCGGGTTCTGAGTTTGTTTGCAGCTTCTACACATTGTCGAACTATAGAACCATATCCCAAAATCGCAACGCTATTTCCTTCCATCAGTATTCTCCCCTTTCCAATCTATTCAGTAATTGAAAAAGAAAGCATTAGTTATATGTTCTTTGTTTTGCTGTGTATAATTTTCCAAGATTTTTGCTTATGCTAACCTCAAGTGGGGTTCCTTTATTATTAGGTGGAAGAGCTGCTCCAATTCCATTGCCCCTTGGGAACCTGAAGCAACTGGGTCTGTCATCTATGGCCGCTGCAGTGGCAACCATGTGCACTAGCTCAGCTTCATCAGATGGAGCCATGACCACCATGTTGGGCAAGCAAGCCATGTATGTGATATCAAACGCTCCACAGTGGGTGGGTCCATCTGCACCAACCAAACCAGCTCGATCTAAAGCAAAGCGGACAGGTAACTTTTGAAGGTCCACATCATGCACCACCTTTGTTCCAAAGATAAAAGTTAGTATGAAATTTGCAACAAAGGATTCTTTTAGTTTATCAAGAATCAGGCCATTGACTCACCTGATCATATCCTCGTTGCAGGAATGATGAGTAGATAGCACAGAATGGTTTGAGTCCTTCTGTGGCTAAACCAGCTGCAAATGTAACAGCATGCTGCTCAGCAATGCCTACATCAAAGCATCGATCTGGAAACTTCTTTTGGAAATAATTGAGACCAGTGCCTCCACCCATTGCAGCATGAATGGCCACAATTTTATTGTCAATTTCAGCTTCCTTGATTAGAGCTTCAGCAAAGTACTGTGTATATGAAAGTGTAGGAGATTTCGGCTTGAATTGCTTCCCTGTTGGAACATCATACTTTACAACACCTGAAAAGATGAAAGAATTAGTATCTTCTTCTCAATAATCCATAAGAATACCATTAGATGATAAAGTTACAGTCTCACCATGCATTTTATCAGCTGCTGCCTCCGCTGGGGGATAACCTTTCCCTTTCTCTGTCACAATGTGAATCAGAACAGGTCCTTGTGCAGGCATTGCTTTTACTTTTTGAAATATGGTCACTAGATCTTCAACATTGTGTCCATCCACAGGACCAATATAATATAATCCTAACTCCTCAAAGAGAGTAGACCCAGAAGCACTGATCATTCCTCTTGCATACTCATCTACCTTTGCTGCAACTTGATAAGTTTGCCCACCAATTTGCTTTGTTATGTTCTTCAAAACACAAAACCCATGTCAGATATCTTCGAGTATGGAAATGAAATTCAAGGACTAGAACATGAAGACAAAAACATATCAAAAGTTACTTTAGCAGCTTCACGAAGTTTGCGGAATTTGGTGCTTGCTTGTAGCTTGGTCAGAGTACTGCTGAGGGCACCAACTGGAGTTGCAGGACCATCGAGAGTAGCAGTTGGTAATGATACTTGCTTATTATCATTCAGTATAACAATTAGATTAGCATCAAGAAATCCTGCATTATTCATGGCCTCATATGCTTGTCCTGCTGTCATGGCTCCATCTCCAATTACAGAAATAACATTATTGTTCTTCCCTAATAAATCTCTTCCAACTGCCATTCCTGCATTTGTTTTTTAATTTTGTAGAAAAAATTATTATTATAATTAATTGTTACTTTTACGAATAGCACTATTTTTAGCAAGATGATTTAATTGTCACCAATATCCTGTAATAGAGAATCTTCCAATATGGCGAGAAAAAAAAAAAAAAAAAAAATAATACACACACCACTCTTTTGAATAATAAAGAAGCTCACTTACCAAGACCAGGCAGAGATTTACTTCGGTAGAACTATGTCCAGCGGGCCAAAAGCAATCATAATACTCTCATCTCTTTTAGGAAATGCCTAAAAAAAAAAAAAAAAAAAACATATATATACACACACACTCTTTTGAATAATAAGAGCTACACATACCAAGACCAGCAGAGATACTCGTAGAACTATGTCCAGCGCCAAAAGCATCATAAATACTCTCATCTCTTTTAGGAAATCCTGCAAGCCCTGAAGTTTTTCTTATCGTATGCATCCTAGACCTTCTTCCTGTTAGAATTTTATGTGGGTATGCCTGCAAAATTTAGAACCTTTTCACTACCAAATCCTAAGAAAAGCCCTTTTCCATTTTTTTTTTTTTCCGGCTTGGAATACAAAGTATCTCTCTTACCTGATGACCAACATCCCATATGATTCTATCTTCAGGAGTATTAAATACATGATGCAGAGCCACTGTTAGCTCTACAACTCCTAAGCTTGCACTCAAATGTCCTCCTGTTTTTGATACACTGTATACGATATCTGCTCTAAGCTCTGCCGCTAGTTGTTCAAGATCCTGAAAATTGCCAATCAGTATAACCGCCAAGAATGAGTAGGATTCTTTTTTTGTTTTTATTTTTTATTTTTATTTTTCCCTTTAATTTTCTAACTCTCCCCGTCAGAAGTAGAAACAAACAGAATAGTATAGCAAAAACAACTAGCAGTCCAACTGGGTGTGAGATACCATTCCTTGTAAAAAGACATTAGGAAAAAAAAAAAAAAATCTCCATCTTCTTTGTATATTTTATTTTGTTTTATTTTTATTTTATTACCTGTGGGGATAGGTTCTTCATATGAACTGGGTAATTGACTGTGTCCAGTAATGGTGTGGGTGGTTTTTCACCTGAGAAATCAATTTTCCAGCCATCTTGTTCTTTCCTAATCATCATTTTCCCTTCCTTATCATCAGCAGATGCTCGTAAACAGAACTAAAACACAGAACCAGACACCATTAAACCAGCAAAAAACAAGATCATGGAAAAAACCGATAACCACAAAAACCAAAACCAGCACCATAAAAACCCCATAATTTCAAAGGAGATCAAATGATGTTATTATACCAGTATTAATGCAGAACAGATAACATATATATACCTGTTTTCTGCTACTGATTTTTGATCTCGAAGCTGTCAAGAATGGAGAGAGGGATTGGTTTGCTACAAAGGAAGAAGCAGAAACCGCCATGGCTTGCAAAGTAAGAGAAATCAGAAGAGAGAAACAATGTGTTAGTGACTGAAAAGGAAGGACAAACGAAGTTTATATAATAGGCAGGCAAGGTGAGAGAAGACGAGGAGAGCTACTTACGTGGCATGATAAAATATCAAAATTTTCATTTTCACGAGATTTAGCTTTCCAGTTTCTCCTTCAATTTTTCGCCAGGCTGGTTCGGGGGATGTTTTTCGTGGTGACGATATACTCATGTACCTATATTTTTATTTAAGAGATTTTTGTTTTTTTTGTTTTTTTGCTTTTTTTATGAAAGGAATTAACTTTATTATTTCTGTATCATAATTTTTATCTTGATTTGAGTTATAATATTTTTCTATATTTTTTCTAATATATCGTTATATTAGTATTTTATTAAAATAAAAAATAATTCATATTAAATTATGATTAAAACCAATCAAATTTTAATTATTAATCCAACAATCAAGGCAGTCAAATAATATATAAATGGAAAATTAAATTTTTAAGTTTTTAATTTTATTTTTATCAAGATTATCTAATATAGTAATTTAACTAATATATTTATTGAAAAAGAAGTAAATTAAATAAGAATAAAATATAAAACTTTTAAATATTATTCACTTCTAAACAAAAAAAAGAAAATAAAAAGAAACAAGATAACAATTGGGACGGATAAAAAAATAAAAGTAAGATAAAGAAATATGGGACGAGCATGAAATTTTAGAAAAAAAAAAATTGATCGCTTAAGTTATGATTTTATTTTAAAAAATGAAGATTTTTATTTTCAAAAATAAATTTAGGACTCATATTTTCAAACTAAAGTGTAGAGCTTCTAAATTATAATTTTATCCACACTTTGATCATTTTACCTAAAATAAAGAGACTGAAATGTTAATAAAAATCATAAAAAAGACTAAAATGTTAATAAAAATTATAAGTTAGAGACATTACAATTAGTTTGACTATAATTTAAGGACTAATTTCTTAGTCCGTTGGCAACTAAAAAAGACTATTTTGAATGAGAGGACCAACGTATTAACAAAATCAGAAATTAAAGACCTCATATTTAATTTTTAAAAATAGAAATTTTAATGCGTCAATTTAATTATACTTCAAAGACCAATTTATTTTTCAGCTTAAATTTATATTTTTAGGGATATTTTATTGGATGTGTTTACTGTTTGGTTTTGATAAGAATACATTTAATGATTCGATTCAAATTAAGTCAAGTCAACACAAATTAAATAAAGCAAAATTATATAATTTTCTGATTTAATTTTATTTCATATTTTGTTTCAAATTCAATTCATCGTTCATATTTGTTAATAAAAATTATTCTTTTTCTAATTTTTTCATATACGGTTAAATTAGTTTAATTTATTAAAAATTAATTCTTAAAATATATTAATGTACTTCTTAGAATAACTCTAATATTAATATTAATATTTTCTTCTCAAAAAAACTCTAATATTATTATTTAAATAAAATGCTATATATTTCATTTCTCAAAGAAAATATTTTTAACACATGACCTAATTAATTAATCCCTACTTGCTTTCAAAAGTAAAGAGACTGGCCCGAAGAGAGTTTGCATTGCAAAGAATTAAACTCATGACTCAAGTTATGGTGATCAAACTTGCAAATGTTCTTTGCGTTAAACGATCCCATTCGAGTTAATGTGCATAAAATTAGTTGTACATTTTTTAATAAATGTTTCTATTATTTGGTTTGTATAATTAAATTAAAAGGAAAACAATATTCTATACAATATAGTCTAAAATAAAATTATATTCTTAATAATATATAACAATTACTAATAATTTTTTATCAAATAATTAACACCGGCCAGCTATAACTAATAGCTTCAATAGATAAAATATTATGATAAAGTTTTTGCTTTGACTTTTCAGATTAATTTTATTTATTAAGATTTTGTTAAATCGTGTGAGTTTCTAATAACAATATGAAGAACTTGGAAGTTTTATATTCAAATTTAATGGAGTTTGGAAGAAAATATTATATTATAAGAAAGGGGCAATCTCACCAATGATGTTTAATTTATTATCCACATGAATGTTCATTTCATTAAAATGCACCAGCATTTTTCATGTGTTATCATAATAATTGTGTTCAGCCCCCTTACACAGTATGCATTTATCATTTTATAGTAAGAACAACCAAGCCATTCAAAATGGAAAAGACTTTAATCCATGAGTTTCACCAAAACTCTCTAATTTTCAATTTTTTTTAATTTAATTAGGAATTTAAAATTTTTCTAGAGACTATTTTTTATTAAGAATTATAAGAAGATTTTTATTATGATAAAGAAGCAATCTCTAATCATATAATATCCACCTGTTAGCATATATTTTTAATAAATGAAAATTATATTTGCATAGAGACTTTTATTTAAAGAGAAATGAAGGTTGAACCATATGCCACCGATCATTTTTAACCAATCGAATATTTTTAACCGCTATATTTTTTTTGATACATAGAAAGTGTTATATCATATCTTAGATTTAATTATATAAAAATAGACGGCTTTCTTCATGTATAGGTAATCTAACAATAATGTAAGAATACAATTTTCTTATACAATAATATCATATACCACCGATCATTTTATTTTTATATTTTATTTAACATGTGTATTTTCATTCCATTAAAAAAAAGTAAAAATATGCAAAAAAAAAAGTAATATAAAATTCCAAATGCATATAATTTCCCTTGATCTTTGGCTCTGTTTGCTACACTGCCGCCCACTGAAAAATATTCTGGAACATGTAAGCCTCATAAAAGGAAACAACAATGAATTTTGGTAGGGCATTAATTATTGTAAAATCAAAAATGGAAAAATAATTAAAATTTTGTATTAAGTATTATTTTTAATATTACTAGTCGTATTTGTATTATTATTTTGGTTTTGGTTTGGTTTGATTTGTTGATCATTATATGTCATGCGGAGAAAAAATCATGTTTTCACACTACAAGGAGATAGTGAAATAGCAACGGATTTTTAGAAATGGATTTTTCCGTTTCTAGTTACCAATGGATTAGAAACGTGTTACAAACGGAACACAATTCAAAACGGCCCAGGTACTTTGTTTCTCTGCCTAAGATTTTTTTCTCAACGGGAATTTTTTTTTTCTCACATTTTTGGGAACTCAACAAAACTATTTATAAATAGTAGAATTTTATTTTTGGATAGACAAAACAGATTCCGTTTTTATTTATTATCTTTTAAGAAATGTTATTATTATAATATATCAAACTTACTATTTGATAAAGATCAAATGGGTCACACCACACACTTTATTCAATTGTGATTTTGAAAGTGGCACAACTTAAACTATTAGGGTGTTACTTAAAAGAAAACGGTTTTTTGTTTTTTATTTTTTATTTTCTTAAAAAATGAAGACTCTGTTCGGTAATTAGCCGTTCTAGTAACTATTAATTATTGTAACAGCTGTCAACTGTTTTACTATCTGTTAGAAATTGATATCAATTATTAGTTATTTATCAGAGGTTTATAATAAAAGTGTTTAGTAAAACATATAAGTGTTGGGTTAACTGTTTAATAAAATGACAAAAAAATTATGAATACATGACAAAAGATAAAGATAAGTGATGGATATAGGTGTCATAAAAAAATTTTATAAGGTGCTTAAAGAGGAGTTTCAGGCAATTAGTGAAGCTTGTTCAAGATTTCCTGGTTATAGACCTCTCATCACATTTGCATTAATCCAACCACTCCAGCAAAGAAAACAACTTACAAAATATTAGAAAATTCAAAATTTGACTGAATAATTTGAAAACAAACTCAGCTTTCTAATTTTCTACAAGTTACAGTAAAATTTAATGGAGGAAGTAATTTGCATTAAAGAATAAATACATGAATTGTATTTTGGCAAGTACCAAATGGTTGGAGAGATGCAATGCATTTATTTATTTCCTTGAAATTAATAGGTCTCTTCTCAAATTACTCAAATGGTTCCAAAATTTGTCATCTTGCTCAATATGGCCACCTCATCTCAACCATACTGCCTTCTCTAATCTCTATTGCTTTTCTTATGTTTTTAATTTTTATTTAGTTCTATACTTGCTAGTTAGTTTTTTTTTTTTAATTTTAATAATATATAATATTTATTATATACATCTTTGAGACATTGATCCACTTGCATGTTTGTCAACTGCCACAATTGCATAAAAATTAATAGCTTCTGCAATATATATATTGAAGTAGTTGTGGATGCTCTTCTCAAATTTCTTGAAGGGAAGAATCCTTCATCTTCTAATCAGTACAAAGGAATTAACAGTAGTTTGTATTTTCTTTTTTTTTTTTTAATGAATAGTTTTTATGACTCTTTTTTTTTAGAAAAAAAAATTAAAAAGATGGGGATTAAATTAATTTTGGGAGCATGTCGATTATAGTTGACTGATATGTGTAATTGTAATATAATTGAGTTGTAAAAAATTTTAGATAATATTGCTAAATTTCTAGAAATTGCACAAGATAATTAAACATATTATTTATTTTAACCATAATTAAAATTTGACGTAAAACTTAATTGAAAATTTAATTTAATTAATCATGGGACCAAATTTAAGTATTGAGAAGAATCTAATGAGGAATGACAATTATAATTTGGAGATTTTCATATTATTATTAGTAATATATTTAAATAATATAATATTTATAATTTGGTAGAATTTTTTTTAGAAGAAATCAAACTAGATATGGGATATAGATTAAAATGTTTCTATATTTTTGTATGGAAAGTCTAATATAGTAAACCACTTATATAAAGAACAAAAAAACATAATCTTGATTTGAAGTATCTGATCGAGTTTACAGAGCATAATATTTGTGCTATAGGTGATCGCTCACTCCACTTAGTGCCTATTTATTGACTCCATAGTCTTTCTACAAGTTCGATCTGATTACCTTCAAATTTCTTCTTTCTATTGGAGAGAAGATCTGCACTTCTTTCTGTATAACTATTCAAATAATAAAAAAATCACCATAATGGTGATAATAATAACTCAGAACT